AGTATTTTGAAGTCCAAGAAGGAGATATTTGAAAAGAAGCGGCTCTTATTTTCTTCAGATGCCAGGCAAGCAGTGAAATGGCCCTCCGCCGCATTATTTTGTTTTGGGATTTGTGGAATCTACCGATAAAACCCAGTTACTAATCAAGCAGTTCATATTTTCTACTCAAATGTTGAGAATTTTCTTCAACCTCCAGGAAAATAAAAAGGAGGAGAGTCAAGGCTGGGTAGTGTGTGTGACACCTTAAGTCAGCTCCTCTTTTATTGTAGGTCTTTTCCAGTAAATGCAGGTTTCCTTTTTTCGTGCAACGCTTTCGACCCAGTCCCGTTACACCTTTGTTGCGCATCAACATAGTGTTCACAGAGGCGGATGGGAGGTTAAAGTTGATCCACCGCCCACATGCCTCTGAGCCTGTAACAGAAGTAGTTAGGGAGGCAGCTTTGCTTATGTGCAAAGTGGGAGGTGGCACATGCAACAGTATGCTCCAAGAAGCCCTTCTGTTAACTCCGCTGATTTTGTGCTACCGACTTCTTTTTCCGAGCGCAGGGCTGACCCAGCTCGGTTTGATCTGGGTGAATTAGCAAAGAGGATCAGTAGGTAGTCATAAAGGAAGTCGATACTGTAGTGTTTAACCACTGAGTGAAAAAGGTCTGTCGATGGCTTTCTGTAGTCCCATTCCAAAACACTTTTCCACTGTTCGTACATTTGTCATCAGCACCATTCAAAGTGTGTCCTTGAGGTGCAGGTAGACTGTTGAGTTTTGACCTGATAAACTCAATAAGCTGCTCAAGCCCAGCTGTCATCAACCAGGAATGATTATGAAAAAACAAACAAACAAACAAAAAAAAAAACAACAAAAACTATAACCTTGAGTATTTTGGTCAATGCTGAAATCAAGATTACTTACAATAGTTTTACAAATTTTTTTTTTTTTTTTTTTTTTGGGGGGGGATATAACATCTGCTGCAGCCAAAGAACAGTGAACTTTATTGAACGTGAATAAAAACGTGAAAAAAAACATATATATATATATATATATATAATTAAAATTTATTAAAAAAAATCATAAAAATAGCGTACTTAAGTGATTCCCGGTAAACAAAATGCTAAATAGAAAATACACATTTTAATTCAGATATCAAAATCCAGAATCATAACAAACCATCAAAGAATAGAAAACATACAATTTGTGTAAAACAAAATTGTTTTAAAGTAAAAACCAAAATATTTCGGCTCATTAATTACTTTTTTAGTTCTGCTGAGCTGAAACAAAGAATATGACTAATCAGCCGCTGCGCTCTTTCGTTTTAGTTTTCAACTTAGAAAAGAAAATCCTTTCCACCATGAAAGTTCCTGCTTGAGACTTTTTATTGCAATGTTGGCAAACTCATATTTAATAAATTGGATTAGTGAAAAGGTTATTTATTTCAGAAACTAATTACACACAGAGGGATGTTTTCAAGTCTATTTCACTTAGATGTGATGATTTTCCACTTAAAGGTTAGGAAAAGTCAATTCATAAATACTTTCTAGATTCCAAAGGGAAGTCAAATGGTTGTTGTAACTCATGCTGTCTAAAGAGTTGTGGATACTTATGGCTCCTGTAGCAGTCTGTATTGCTGCAAATCTGACGAAGCCTCAGACTGAAGACACTGTCTTTTGTGACAGTCTAATGATGAGGATGGTCTTTGTTATCCATAATTTTCCTGATTTTATGTAAAATCCTTCTTTGCGCCATCATTTCCAGTGGTTACTCAGCAGTCCCCAGAACAGAAACACCCTTCTTTATCAAGTTGTTGAGCCTTTTCATGTCCCTCTCTTCTCAAGCCCTTTCATAATGTGGTCAATAGGGGTTTAGACATTGATTACTTTTGGGTCAGTTTTCAATTGATACCGGAACCAGGCGGGATGTCTTCCACGGAAACAGAACCTTCTCGTGCATCAGGTGATGGTTGAAGAGGTGCTGCAGAATCCCACAGAGCTGCTCTGCACAGGACTCTGGTGCTAAAGCTATCTGGACCTGCAGCCTCTCTCCAGCTGCCTATTCACCTGACTTCTAGATACAGAAACCTGGTAGGAGGAGGCAAAGGGGAGCAGCAGCATTTTCTGATTTGGTTGATGGCCAACTTGTAGAAGCAGAAGAGTCCATGACTGAGATGGAGGATAAAACATGTGAGGTTTGACAGGAAAGCTGTGGGTCAGAGGAGTTTGGGACGCCTGCTTGGCTGGGGGCAGGAGAGGATGATGATGATGATGAGCTTGTTCCTGAACTGAACCTATTGAAGAATGTGTTCAGCTCACTTACTCCGTTCACACTTCCATCTGCCTGATCCTCCTTTTGCTTGAAGCCTGTGATCTTCTTCATCATCATCTTTGACTACACCTTTGATAATGTTCTACAACACAATTTTATACAAATGTAGCAAGATAAGAAACCAAGCTCTGAGAAATAACCGTCTAGGACCGGGAGGCAAAAGCTATGCTTACCTTTTCAAGAAATAACATCTGCCAAATGGTTAAATACTTTTAATTTGGTGCATTTCTGCCACCTTCTGGTAATTTATGCAGCTTTTTATCATCAGAAGCCAGTGAATAAAAGGATAGGATTTGTATGGTGCGAAAATCATTACCGATTGCTGTATGATAACATTATTTGTCTTTTAGAACAAAGAAGGAAAATCTACTTGCAAGTACTCTGAATGTGTTGACAAGCTGATAACTTCAAATATAACCTGCATTATAAAGGTAGCGGAGGAGTCCGGGGAGGGGGGTTTCCACTGTTCTGAAGTTACATTAACACTCATGAGACTGGTGCCAAGCGTGATAGAAAACAGTTGTCATGGTTACAAAGTTGGGGGTGTGCAATTTTAAAGCATTTAAACCTGCAGCAATTTTTTTTACAAAAATCCTACTGAGCTAGAGTTGTGTGACAATGAACTAAGACACAATGAGATAGCTTTGTTTGAATGGCTTTTATGTGGTTTGAATACAATCAAATATTGTGCCAGGCTGCAAGTTTATAAAGGTAACAAGTGTGAATGAAGATTTACAAAACAACCACAGTTTTGTAGTGCAATCTGTAACCAGTCAAAGTTAATAAAATAAAAATAATCAAAGAAAAAAAGCAATAGAAAAAATTACAACCATTTAAACACGGATGCTTATTTGGTTTTGTTTTAGCCTTTTCTGCTCTTCTCTTCACAAGGAACGATGTTTCCACATTTCCTCGCCCCCATGTGAGAGCAGGGGGAAATATTAGCCAATGTCCAGATTTTAAATGCAACTGCAAGTTCTGACTGCTCAGAGCGACAGAGAACACTCTTGTTTTGCTTGTGCACCTGATTGACAATGACAACAGCTAGACAGCCTCTTCTCCACTGGCACTGTCTTCAGCCCTTGCAGAGTGAATTTTCCCCGGTGAGTTTGACTGTTGCAAGTCTCGGGCTACGCTCTAGGGAGTGTGGATGCTAAAGGACAATTTGTGCCTCTAGCACTCGCTGTAATTCTGTTGACAATGTTTGATTTCAGTTTTTTTTTTTTTTTCCTTCCATCGAAGTAAAAGAGACATTTGTGCCTAAAAGACTTGAGGATGATTGCTTACACCCCTGACTGCACAGGCGGCCTGCATTTTACTAATTAGTTATTGTATTGGTGTTTTTGTATGGAGACTGTTGAAATGTTCGTACAATTATTCATATATATTGACCGTCCACCCAGTTTCGTTATTTTTCTTCTCTCGGCTGAAGTGCTTCTATAAAGGTTGTGTTGGATTCTGACTATGAAAAAGCAGGAAACAATCATTCGTGCTGTTCAAGAGGCTCCACTTGTTTTCTGCAGAGCTCTAAAGCCCTGATGGTGGTAATTATCACCCATTAATGCTTTGTGCCAAAATGGCACCTGGGTTGAAAACTGAGATTTTTTTTCTTTCCTATTTGTTCAGAGCTGCTTCTATGTCTGCTTCACTTGTGATGCTATGCATTGCATTGCATTGCTTCTTTTTTCTGATTAATTTAGCAAATAGATTGATGTCAAAACTATATGAGATCACTGAGTTTAAGTATCCTACCTGTTATTTCAAGACGCTAGTGGAAAAAAAAAAAAAGGCAGATGCTAATTTTTCTGCATAAATGCTGCAATGCACATAAATGTGTAGGAAGAATGTTTAATATATGGGTTTATAAACTATAATCTCAATCTGTATCATCAGTGTGGTCCTTTGCCAAAGGTTTCACAATTTATAATTTTTTTTTTTTTTTTTTTTTTTGGTTAATTTTGCAGGTAAATTATCCTATTGACAAAATTGAGAAAATAACACAGTGCAATATCATTAGTAAATAATTCAAGGATGTTATCAGTTATGGTAAATCTAAATTTTCCTCACTCTGAACCGTCTTTTTCATGTGTACATTCAACACTCTCCATGACCTTTAGCATTTTGGGCACTGTAATCTGTGTGGGCATCTACTGCAGCGAGACTCCATCCAACAGTCTGACTATTGTGCTGGCATGCAAGGTGTGAACTTATAACAGTGAGGAGGTATTGGCCAACTACTACTGCATTCCAAAAAGTCAAGGGAAATGAGATTCAGCCTCAACTGCTGCTGAAAGCATAAAAACAGCAGCATTTTTAGAGTTAAAATATTCTATGGCACACAATATTGGAAGACTTTAAAAGAGATTTTTTTTTTTTTGTCTAGATTCATAGTTGCGACTGTGTCTCTCTGCTTATTTGTGTCTCTACATTAGTCATTCGACACCAACCACAACTGTATGGTTTATCTCTGAGCTGGGGTCTGTTTGCTTCAGGTGTGAGCAAGGTCATTGATGATGCTGGCGATGTGTTGTTTATTCCTTCTAAATCCAGACACGTATGCTAATTCCATTGACGCCAGATGCTTTATTCAGACATTTTTAGTCGATTAATGATTCTGTTTCCCCTCTGTTCGTAAACTTCCCTTTGCCCCAGTGGATTTCCTGACCTCCATCTCTGTCCCCCACAGTTGCATCGGGTGACCAACCTCGCTTCACTGGAGGCAGCCGTCCTGGGAGCACCGGCGTAATGAGGGAGAGGAGGACAGCTGGTGACCCCTACTGGTCCTATTCAGGTGAGCTCTCATTCCTGGTATGGCCAGAGAGCCTGAAACGGAGAGAAAATAACTCGCCAACCTCTCTGACTTGTCTCTCACATCCCTGTTTTTGTCCTCTGTTTTGGCAGAGACCTTTGCTCCCTTCTTATTGGAATATCCAGAGAGGCTGATCTAGGTGTTTTAGTATTCACATAATGCATACCTGAGCTGTATATTTTCATCACTCCTAATAACCGTAATTAAACTAATGCATTGGGGAGAGAAACTGAGACATATGGCAAAGTGATTTAATGTTCCAAATGTTAATGCTGTATTATTATGTTGCAGCCTACTGCGTTTAACTATTAATAATGAATCGACTTCTCTTAAAATGGATTTATTGCACGTTTAATTAGGTATGTAAACCGTAAACACAGAAATAGTGCAAGTAAAAATGTATGCAAATGCAGTTGAAACACGGTATTTTCCTACACTGGATGAAAGACACGAAACGTTTATATTTCACTCTCTGGTATTGGATTAAGCCAGACTTTAGACCTCATGGAAATTACAGTTAAAAATGTTTTATGTTTGTGAAACACTTGATTAATCAAAGACTTTTTGAGAATTTGACACTTATCGCCAAGGTTTGAAAGATTCATTCATTTTCTTGTAGAATTGAGAAAACTAAGATTACAATAGAATAGCCAAAATAGTTAAAGCTAAATAAGTGATTTATTGTCATATTCATTTACATAGATTTCTTTAATAATGGGCAGCATTGCCTTCCACAGTGCCTAGTTATAATTTGGTTCAATTGTCGCCCATTCCTCCTGACAAAACTGGTGTAACCGAGTCAGGATTTGAGGCCGCCCTGGTTACACACACACCTTTTCAGCTCTGGCCACTCATTTTCTGTAGGAATGAGATAAGGATTTTGCAACGTCTGCAACACAAACCATCACTTTGTTGTCCAACAACCAGTTTGTCACTAATTTGGATGTATGTTTAGTTTTATTGCTCCAAATGTGATCAAGAAAACATTGTTAGCATTGCTAATGCCTCATTAGCATTAGCTTAAGCTTCCTTTATTGCTGCCACACTTACAGCAACATGATACTATCATTCCTGTACTTCACAGCCAGTTGGTAAAAGTGTTTTAAAATAAAGTTACTATTTTAGCCCAGTGTGATGCCTGTGATGTTAAAAACTCCACACTGTTGCTCTGAACTTCACCAATACTTATTATCTAGTCAATTTAAACAGCTTACATTATTTTTTATACCCACAGATTTATCTGTTGTCTAATTTGTTAACATGCCACCACTTCTAAAAATATCTATGTTGATAAATACTTTTTTTGTTCCTCGTTCCACTTTTGGTTAATTACCTTCAGCCTGTAATAATACTTTTTTTTTTTAAACAAATTTTACAAAACAGTGATAATATTAGTATTAGTATATTATTAGAACTGCTAAGGACTGGCGACGTGTCCAGGGTGTACCCTGCCTCTCGCCCACTTACCACTGGAGATTTGCAACAGCGCCCTTTGCAACCCATTTTTTTCTCATTTTCATCTCCCATTGTCATTTCATCATAAAACACTGTGGCAATGTTTTATTAAAATTTAGAAAAACTCAACAGGTTAATGTATTTTCACTCTACTGTTTCTACATCTGCAACGAATGTTTCGCAATTAAAGACTATTGTTACAACTAATTGTAGATTCTTTAAATGCATAGTAATCATAGTGTATGTAAACATATGAGTTTGAACGACGTATTGGTAAAAATATTTTAACAAAAAAAAAAAAAATCTCCAGCGTTGTTTTGACATTTTAGCAAATTGTGGCTTTTTATACACTGTATGTAATTATGTGGATTCATTACTGTTTGTATGAATATTTTGTGGTGATCATTTTAATTTTTAGGTTGCTCATTTGGTAAGCAATTCAGATAGGCATGTTCTGTCGGAACACCTCTGCTCTCTCAATCACAAACATCCACAGCCATGCAAACACAGTCCAGGGTCGACTATCAGGCAGTGCCGATGGGAAATCTGGGTTGTGTGCTCTGGTTGAGGGCACCTCTCTGAAACAGCTCAGGGAAGGAGCACTTGTATTTACAGGTCCAAAAACACCACATTGCAAATAATGTGCTCAGTCCCACTGCCACTGGAGTGCATCGGAGCTCTGAAAATTATTACACTGATGGAATATTTTGTCTTGGGTGCTGCGGTTGTGAGTAAAATAGCAAAAAAAAGAGAAAATCGTGGTTTCAGAGAAGAAAATTGTGCACTTCACAGTAGAGAAACGAGGTATGCTCCGTTTGGATTCACGTTTGTTTGGTATTCACGTCACTCCTAACAGTGGCCTTCGGCTGCCTCAGTTGTCTGGTAGAGGCAGTGAAAGACTGTCTGCTTTGGCTATCCAACCATGACAGCTCTCTCACTATGTACAAGGTATGTGGACTCGATAATAAGAATCTTAATCACTTCAAACACGCTTTTATTTTTCTCAAATCCTTTATGCACAAAACTTATGTGTAGATGGTCAGACGAGGCCACCTTTTATGTTGCCGTGCGTCTTATCACAGAGAGGATTGAATTGTCTCTGATCTAAGGGACATTTTTAATGATTCAACATGATGGTAGTAAACGTGTTTTGACTTGGGCGAGTGGCTGTGGTTAAAATAAAAATGGCAGCTGGCGCAGATTGAGATGATAACATCGTCCAGCTAATTAGCTGACGTAGTGAGCCACCAAAAACTTGACAGTATTTTTCATTTGATAAATTCATTTTCTAGAAGAGAACTTGAGCTCCAGCCCCATTGTGAATAAATAAAAGAAACCAGCACAAGACACATTTAAAATTGATTTAAAGGACATAAATGTCAATCAGAGGGATGATTGCTGACTTCTCAGATGTTTATAATACAACCATTGACACCCTTCACATTGTTATTTTTAAGAAGATGCCTTTTCACAGAGCTGTATCTATGGAAGCAGGATATATTAATGGAAAGTCAAGTGAAAGGATAAAGTGTGATAGCAAAGGGTTCCTAAGCAACAGGGGTAATTTTAGAGCACTTCACGCATCCCTTCACTAACAAGCTTTATGAAGATGCTGATTTTGATATCCAGGACGACTTTACACCGGCCCTCAGTTTCAAAAGACAGTACTTTAGTTACTATGGTAATGCTGTATTTGACTGGCCAATTCTCCTCACCCCAAGCCCCATAGAAACTCTGTGGGGCATTGTCAAAAAGGAAGATGATGCACACCAGACCCAACAATGGATTCGAACTGAAGGCCCTTATTAAAGCAACCAGGGGTTCCTTAACACCTCGCAGAACCAGAGCTGATTGCCTCCATGCTGCAATGATACTGTAACTGTTGCAAAATTAGCCTGGAAAAATATTAGGTGTAAAGTACACAAACATACTTTTCAGTAGGCATTTCTATATTAACGTATATTTTTAAGGGTCAGAAATGTGAATGATTGAAATTGGGGTTTTCACAAGCTGTTATAGGCATAATTACCCTTGCAATATATCACTGTGTGTTTGCTGAATCTACAAATTGAGTTATATATACATTTTTATTTTGATGGATTGTAATATTTAGTTGCACAACCACACTTTTCCCTTCTGGTCAACTTTCCAACTGTATTGGATGCAGCCAACTTCTTAAGCAGTGATCCTATATGAATAATCTATTTTGTGGAAAGTATCAGTGAATGTCTCCTGGACAACTATCAAGATAAAAATCTCCCTAGTGATTGCATAATACATAACTTGGCCATCATTTTTCTCTATGTAAAAATGAATCTTTTTTTATTGGCTTTTGATTTTTAGTAAATCTTAATTCCCAAAAACGTCACTATGTTGAACGTCTTTAAAATAAATTTTACTTTTTCAATTTGATTACAGAAATAAATAAAATGTTTTATATATTGAAGGTATATTTCTTATTCAATAATTTTAATACGTGTCTGTGCAGACCAGGTTGCAGACTGGCTTAATATTTTTATTTTCTTTTATACTCAGCACTTGTGCTTGCTTTATGCAGAGAAGAATGCATACTTAGCAATATAAAAGCTGAAAAATTTAGGAAAACAACATCTTAAAAAAAACAAAAAAAAACTTAATGTTGATCTTTAGCTTAAGAAGAAAAAAAAAAAAACCTGCCTGTCTTGAGTTGAATTTTGGACATTCATTTCATGTCTGCACTGACCACCAAGTCCCACTCGCGAAGGCAGCTGGCTGATTGTGCTCTGGAAAAAAGGGAAGCATTGAGGGAACACAGAACTGTCCATTACTTTGGGAATGTAATTAGCGGCTAAGGCTGTGACTGGGAGACAGACCAGCGTGCCTTAGCAGCTAAATGGTTATTAAGGGCATTTGCTCTGTGCAAGTGAGTGTAACAGAAATGCACGCAGCGGGCGTGTGCCTCAAGCTAGAACGTACTTGTGCAAGTCAGGCTTCAACCCTTAAGAGTCAGACACACATAACATATAGAAGAGCAAGCCTCTCTTTTCTACTCATTGTGTAGCCCACCAGCATCAACTGCTGCAGGGGAGAGACGTTTGAAGAATGTGGAGCAACATGAGCTCTAGAGAGTAAGTTTTGAGTCCTTCATTTAGTTCAGGTCTGATTTTGCAGCTGGATGTCTATTTTAGATTGAAATTCTTCTTCTTTTTTTTTTTTTTCTTCCAGATTCATATTTGTTCATCTATTAGACATATTGTTAGAGGTGTTTCATGTTTAGCAGCAACACTTTATTTAGGGTTTCAGAGCCTTTTTGTCACACGGTCCTCAGCATAAAGGTGCAATGCGCACAGTGCAGTGAGAACTCTTATCGGTCCATGACATGTCTCCTTCCTGTGTGCTTTGATTATGAACCTCCATGCAAGGAGGCTTGAAACCCACACCTTGAAACTTGATTAAAAGTTATTTAAGGCAGGCCCTGAGCTTGTGTGTGTCTGTGTCTGCAAGTGCACATGTGGAGGCATTTTTCATAAGAGGGATGATATCATACTCACCATAAGACTCCCACAGGAACAGGGCTATGCATCATCCCCCCTCCCCCCCCTTTTTTTATATATATATTTATATATATATATATATATATATATATATATATATATATATATATATATATATATATATATATATATATATATATATGTTTATATTTTCTCTTTTTGTT